TCCTCTGATACATACCAAAAGAAGTTCATTTAAAAAACAGAGAAGTGAAACCAAAACCAACCACAAAAGCTACACACTAGAAGTGTTCAGGATCTGTATTGGGGGAGGGGAGTATACACGCATGACATTCCTTAAAATGTTAAAAGGGCAAGAACCATGACCTATGTGTTAAAGTGTAGCTCCACTATAGAGGCCTTGGATAGACCCAGCCAAACCAAGAATGCTTCTATGTAGTATTTGCCAGACAGGCCTTTGAAAGCTTCACTGGTAGATTCCAATAAGACACACTGTTTTCTTCAGTTTATAGATGAGAAACTTCAATGGTGATAGATGGTGATGTCTGTTTGTTTGTTTGGAGACAGGGTTGCCCTGGACAGCCCAGGCTGGCCTTGAACTCATGAAGTTCCTTCTTAGCCTTTCCTATGTTGTAACTGATGTTATATACTACCAGCCTAGCTCAACCATCAGATGACTGAGGATAGAGTGTTAAAATTCTACATTGTCCACCCTTTACACTCAATTTTATAACCCTTCCTTCACCTGCAATTTGCCAGGTACCAGACCCAGTCACAGACATTATCACAGTTAATCTTCAATTCCACCCTGCAGGGAAGTTTTATCCACTTCATTCTAGAGCAATGACAGGATGGCTTAGGAAAGGAAAGCCAGGCTGCTCTCCCCTGTCATCTGTCACTTAAGTTTGCCTTGAAGAGAGACACTTTCTTTCCCTACAAGATGTCCCAGAGATTGAGCACACGTTTTTTTTTAGATTCAAACCAAGGCGCTTCCCTCAGGGCTACTTACCAGAGTGGGAAGGACATGGGTTTTTAAAAACCCAGCTCTGAGGAAACTGGAACCCCATTTTATGACCACTGATCAAGCAGGCCAATGAACATATCCACAGGCCTCAGTACCCCCAAATCTACCACATGGCCAGAGTTTGGTCAAACAGTTCAGCTGCCTCTGTAATCCTAGCACTAGAAGGCTGAGGCAGGAGGATTTCAGTTAAGTTTCAGGCCAGCCTGACCTACAAAACAAATCCAAGTCCAACTCCAAAATAATAAAAAAGCCTTTGCTCCATCCTGTTCATGATTCTTAGACCACCTCTCAGGATTGGGTGAAAATAACCATAACTTCCCCTGTACTTGGTTCCTACTCCAAAAAGCTGTTGCACCTCATCTGGACATAGCTGGGAGGCAGCAGTTAACAGGAAACTAAACAAAAGAAAACAAAAAAGAAAAGCACAGAATGTACCAGAGTTAGGCAGTAGAACCAAGAGCCCTTGGAACAGACTGGAAGCTGGAGACAGAAACAATCTAGGCCAGAAACAGTCACACAGAAGACCCAGCTGGCCTTCCTCCCAGGCCAAACAGAAGAAACCTGGACAAGTGAAGGCTCTGACCCCATGCAAGGGCAAGCCAAAGAGATCTGAACTAGGTCTGCTTTCCTACCCTACTGGGAGCTTACTTCTCTGAAAGCAGCTGATGGCTATGACAGGTAAGCTGAATTCAGAAACCCAGCTTTCTCTAGATTCTCAGTTAATCTGTACCAAATGTCCATGCTGCCAATAAAACTCAGTGAAGGCCACATCAGCCTCCCATGGACACAAACAGCATCTTCATAGGACTTTACCAGCAGATGCCCATCCAGGAACCTTTGGTGGTAAACCTAGGTACTACTACTAGACATGAGGAATACTAACTAGGCTAGACATGAGAAACAACAACAAAAACAAGTGAGCCCATGAGGCTGGAGTTCTTGCACCAAACAGGAATACATTTTGCAATCAAGAAAATTAACTCAGTAATGGCCAGGTGCCAAAATATTTCTGAAAGAAATGGGAGGTGGGATTACTCTGTTGGTGCTGTTTAATAATCCTTTAGGTTATCCACATAGAGCACAAAGGGAGACTGGCTTAGTTTTCGTTTGGCAGAGCTTACTAAGTGAGGCCTTTCTAGCCCAAGCTTCCAATGGCTCAAGCAGCTTTCTCTCCCTATACATACAGAAGTTTATATTAAAGTTAAAAAAAAAAAAAAGAGATTGTGTTCTCTTAATAAACAATTCCTGTCCTTTGCCTCTGGTTTTGTTTGAAAAGCCTTTCTCAAAGAATAGCGTATGCTGTAATCTAATTGAGTCTGATTCCAATATAAGTGCTCAAAATAAGAGACTGAGGGTGCACAGGACTGCAACTTCACTGTCATGTTTGTTTAAAAACAGACTATCTTCACAGGCTCAGTGCTAGCTCAAACTGGCACGATCTAAGAGTCAGAGCAAAGACTGGCCAATGTGCCATGTAAAGGTGATAGAAGGAAGAGCCATGCTACAGGAATGAACCATCAGGGAAACCTTCAAGAGAGGAAATAGGGGTAAGGGTGCATTTCAGAAACAAAACAAAGGAACCAGTTGACTAATCATTTATTCCAGAGGGGAAAATGCCATCCAGAGCCAACTATCTAGTATTTTAACTTCAGGCAATTGAGTAAAGCTTTTAAAATCCAAATGGATTTATTTACTGGGCTCATTATCTATCTCCCTGAGAGAGAGAAAAAGATTGTGGGGGGAAGGAGAAGAGGGAGAGTGAGAGAGAGATGGGAGAGTTGCTTTAACCCACAAATTTAAAACCAGCCTCCCAAAGCTCGACCAGTCTCAAAAACCAAAACAAGCCGGTGTTGGTGGCACACACCTTTAATCCCAGCACTCAGGAGGCAGAGGCAGGTGGATCTCTGTGAGTTTGACACCAGCCTGGTCTACAAGAGCTAGTTCTAGGACAGTCTCCAAAGCCACAGAGAAACCCTGTCTGGAAAAAAACAAACAAACAATAGTAAAAACCATAAAGTTCGATACTTACATATGAAAATGTCATACTAAACCTACTATTTTGCAGGCTAACTTTAAAACTTAATTTAAAAACAAAACTGAAACAGGGCTGGCTGGCCATGGTAGCACATGCCTGATATCCCAGCCCTTGGGAGGCTAAAGCTGGAGGATTACTGCAAGGTCGAGGCCAGTCTAGATTACATAGTGAGTTCCTGGATACTTGGATCTCAAGATAACACAAAAGGACTAGAAATATCCCTACTCTTCCTTCCACGGTCTCTGGAGTTACCTGGGAAACTTCTGCTGTGCTGCCGGCTGTGCAGGACTCAAAGCCTAAGCTAGTACAGTTTCTAAAGCAAGAGGCCCAATCAGCAAGGATCCCAAAGGAAGTTATTACACACTGGGCTGCTCCAGCAGGAGTTCACTGAAGGCCTGTGGCTGAGGCAGACCTACCTAAAGTGAGTGCCTAACAGACATACTGAAGAAGAGTGAGAGGGTGGAAAGAGAGGTAAACTCTCCAGGGAAAGGCATTTCTACTAGTTTGAGAAAAGGGGTCTCTGTCCAAAGCTGAATCCCTGTTTCAGGACAATGTCTGGAATGTCAGTCTTATAAACTGACACTTCACACAAAGATCGATCGTTCTAGGGACAACCAGAAAATCCTCTAGCTAGCCCTGGGCATGGAAGGCATATGTTTATGATCCCAGAACTTGCGATGTGAAAGCAGTAAGGTCAGGAAGAGTTTAAGACCAGCCTCTACTACAAAAGCAAGTTTGAGAGGCACCTGGGCTACAAGAGACTCTAGCTCAGAAAGAAAAAAAGAAAGACCTTCCATTTTTGCCAGGGAAATAGACTGCAACTCCTGCAACTGGAGCTCCTCAAGGCCTCCTAAGTGCATCAAGGAGCCCTGCCTCAGAACTTCCCAGTAAATGAGATGTGAAAGAACCCAGACTCCAGATGCACGGACAATCAGGAAAAGTCACTAACATTTAAGGAGTGCCTAATACACACTTCACCTATCTCAATTCATCCCTGGAAGAGCCTTCTGGAGGTCGACACTACTGTCACCCCCTCTTTATAAACGAGGAAATAGGCTCCAGGGCGTTACACAATCACTAGATAGTGCAGCCAGCGCCCTAGACACCCTGGACAGGTGATCTTAACCGTTGGGTGGTGCTGGTAACACACAAAGCAGTAGAGGGAAGGGGTTCACAGAGCCAGGTAAAACAACACGCAAACTGAAGCTACACCTAATTCTTGTCCAAAACCGGACCCGCGGGCACCAGAGGAGGGGAGGGCCTGGATGGGGAACACGAAGCCGGAAGAACCCAGGCACTGCTGCCAGGGCTACAGGCCAGAATCCTATCTCCTCTCTCAACGGTAGAGACCCCAGACCCACAAATCCCCCTAGAAGCAGCCCCCAAAGGGACAGCGTGAAGCCAAATGGCCACGATGATTTTGTCAAAGAGACGCT